CAAACTATGAAAGAAAAACACTAATATACGGTATGAATGCGTCCCTTTTGAAGGACCTCGAATAATGGAGTCAAGGTACTGGAGAGTTACAAGAAAGGGTTGTTAATTAAGTTAAAATAAACGGCTTGGCAACGTTTTCATCCCGACTTCCGTCTTCCAGTCGGTAAGAGATTTCGAATAAAAATATCCCGTCATAATTTCCTTGTTTCTCCCGCAGATATTCCTGACTTACGTTGGCAACCCTCTTCAGTGGATTTCAGCAAACGTCAGCAACATCTTGAGAATCCAAATGAAAGTACAGTATTTAGAAAAGCCTATTTTTATTATTCGCAGAAAGGAACCCCAAGTGGCAGGAACAGGCACTTCGCATGGTTTCCATGCCACTCGTGACGTCCGTTGATCACTCCGAAAACTAGCGTGGGAATCTCATCCCTCGTCAATTAATCCCAGGGAGGAACATTAATCCTTCCCCGGTCCGTGGCGCGATTTAACGCCGCCCCCCTTCCCAGCACTTACGAAATCTAGTTGAAAAACGAACATATATATTGTTATTGCTAAGTATTGTTAAGCTGTCATAGTCTGAGACAAATCCGGAATGTGGCAGGAGCCTCCAGAACAGAAGCCTGTACCATGGCGTCAAAACACACCACGAAAACCGTAACTGTTGGAAAAGAGACGGCGTTGAATCACGCCACTGACCGGGAAAGGGTCGAATGCGATCCCGATTTTCAGCAGAGAACAGAGAAAGACGCACGATACATTCGCATCGATGTCTCTCTCCCGCGAAAAGTCGACACTAGCGGAAGTAGGAGTCGAGGCACGCGGCCGACGGTTCACAGAGCTCTGACTAAGCGTTCTCCCTTTCGCGCGCGACCGCAATGCGGTGGGATCTTCGACTCTCGCCATGCGGTGGGCATCTTCGACTCTCGCAATGCGGTGGGCATCTTCGACTCTCGCCGTTTTCGTGAGTCTTCACTTTTCCCTCATTTCGGCTTTCTCGTAGGTGTTAAATCTTTCAACTTTCTTTTACCTCCCCCTCAATTTTTTTTTATAGCAGCACCCTGAAAATCGATCATTAAAAAAATCTATTGGAAGAGTTATTTTTGTTTTGAATGCATGTGCTTGAATGCCTCGCTTCCTTTGCGCTTCATCCTCGATGCACTCGTTCAAAGAATTTTCTTCTGAAAATTACTCTCATTTCAGGAGAATTTCCGTACTTTGGTTTTCTCCTTTCCTGACTCTCTGTCCTTTCCCGCCTGAATGAGGGGCTATGGGCTCGCGAGGAGTAAAAACTCTGAAACCATCGATGGAAAATTAGGAAAATTTTTCTCGGATTATTATCGTCGAGCAGACCGAGACGATGCAGAAATAATCGTTTCGAGCTGTCCCAAAATTATTCAAGTAATATCTCTCACAAATAACTTGCCGAAAATCTCTGCTCTTGTGGACGTGCACATTCGCTGACGCATGTCAACCGAAACCTCATCAATCTTCACGTACTGGGGGGAAAAAAAAAAATCGGTGAGCGATCTGGCCGCCGTAAGAATCGCATATAAACTGAAAGTTGCAGGGGAAAGAACCTCGTCTTGCTGGAAATAGACCGTGGTAACGAGCAGACCGTTATCGGAGGTGTGCGAAAGGCTCGACGGAGCTCACGTTCCGCGCAAATATCCGCCTGCGATCCTCTGGCCTTCGTGACGTCATCGGCATGGATGTCGGGAAACTTTGGGTGGCCGTCTGGCACCAGCTGTTAGCGTGTGGGGTTCGTGAGTTGAGAATTTTTTTCAGCGTGTTTTGTGTCGCCCTTTTGTGTGCGAAGGTGGGGAGGGGAAGGGAGGGAACGTGTCGGCAAAAAATGGTGAAAGAATGAATAATTTCCGGTGGCGTTCGGTTCTTTTTCCGTTCTCTTCATCGCATGCCGACTGTCGCATATTTGCATGAAATTGCTCGAAACTGCGGTACTGAAAACGGAAACGGTGCAGCATTTCCAACCTCACCTGTACCTCCCACGGTAATGAACCGCAGGCTCACCATGATGTCATCGGCATGAGAAAAGAATGGAAATAAAATTTAAAAAAAACAGACGCGTGGATGGTCTCAAGTCAAGGGCAAGGTACAGTGGCGTCACGAGAAGGAAGCTGGGGGGAGTCGAAGCCCTCCGAAATTTGGTTCAAGCCCCACCCCACCCCACCCCCCACCCCCCTACCCCCGGAGCCAAAGAGAAGTTAGGGAAATTCTAGCTCCCCCATTGGCGAAATTCTTGCTGCGCCACTGGCAAGATGTACTTGCCGATTCCTCAAAATTTGTTGCAACCGGAGGTGTGAAGAAACGATTTGCAAGTGTCAGACTTTTCTCGATTGAGATAACTAGCGTTTAAAATACGAACGAGGCGCAGCCGGGAAATCGGAGAGTGCGAAGTCGAAGCAAATCGGGAAGTAAATGCATTCTACGGGCGGCGCGGATCCGTTTAACTCCCTCATTGCTCCGCCCCCTTCATAAAACCCCGAGTACTGTCGAAATCGCACGCGAGAGAGACTCACAGGCTCGAGGATGGGTCGTTGCCCGAGGGACGGACGCAGCGGAGCTGCACCGTGAGGCTAGGCGGATGGGCTGGGTCTTTTCGGATCGTCGGGGAATTCCGCGCTTAAAGGGTTGGATGGAGTCTCGCTGCGGGCGAGCGGGTGGGCGATGCACGCGGGAAGGAGATGGGAGCGAAGGTTCAAGGTTCGGGTTGGGACGGACGGTGTCAAGGTCGAGCGTATCATGAGATAGGCCTATACCTCTTAAAGATAGATGTTTTTGTGGGAGCTTATCCGCCTACTACCTAGTCACTTACATCGACGTTGCTCCCCCTTTTTTTTTGCTTTGTTCGTGGAGGCATCTAACCTCCTCTTAAAGCTAGGCACGGAAAGAGCAGCCAGCAGCCACTACACTGTTTTTGGATTCGATTCGTAAACCCCCCCGTATCGAGGAGAACAGAGAAAACAAGACTTTCAGAGGACCTGCTTCTTAAGATACACGAAACCACCCATGGATACCTGCAATCGATGGAAGCGCTCTGATGAGGGGTTACGAATTCAACCTTGAAACAATGCACATCACTTAACGCATTCCGCGCGTTCACTATGCAACAAGTTTTGAAGTCGCAATCTGAGCCTCACCTGGGGTGCACGCAACTCGAGTCGGTTCCCTTGCGTTCTGTTGCGGCCATCGAGGTGGAAAAACCTACCACGCTTATCAATTCTCTTAATGGTCTTGTGTGCCCTTAGGGGAATAGGGGGGAGGCCGCAGGCTCCCGAGGATTTCGCGCGTATTCGATTCTCTTCCTTAAGAGACAGGCGGGCGTATTCGATTCTCTTCGTTGCAAATCTGGTGGACTCGTGCGGTTGAAAAGTCTCTCGGATATCCTTCATCTGTATTGATTCCTTTGGGAGCGATTCCATGAGCAAACGGCTCGGGTCGGATATTTCAGGCTATTGCCTCAAATTGAATCTCGCGAGATATAAAATAGGGTGTGATGGCTAGGATGAAGCTTAACAGTTAAGTTGGGCAACACTGGCGGGACCCAGACGATCCCAGCCAATCAGAAGCCGCATTAGGGACGGCACCCGAGTCGCATGAGGCCCGGGGAAAGGTCAAGAATATCCTTTTCGGGTCTGCCCTGATTGAAAGAGGGGCTTCGGCAATCCCGCGGGATCTCCCTTTCCGGAATAACAGGGCGGCATGTTACGGCGTTTGTAAATTGATATTGACGGCAAGTAGAGTCGAGCCAATAGAAGTCATTCGTGATTGAACCTTGAAGCCGTTCTTGCAATGAAACCCGACCACGTCTTGCTCCGAGAAATGCTGGTCTATTGACATAAATATCTGATTGGAATGCGTACGAAGAAATGTGAAGAACTATGGAGGCTCTCTGCAAAAGTGAGCAACTTCTTTGAGTGCGAAGGAAACAATGCAAAATAAAGCCTATATTGCCATCTGAAACGATTCCACGTTGGTCTGTTTCATACAAAGTGGAGCAAGAATGTGGAGAAATTCCGTGGTTTTGCATGGGTTTTCTTTTACCTACCTGACGGCAGCGGCAACACCACGCGACGTCTGTCTCTGCTGATCCTGAATTAGCATCTATTACGAGTTGGAAAAAAAATCAAGCAAGGAGGTGATAGGACTTCGATGGAGGGTTCTGCTTTCTCATGGTACGGTTCCTCGGTCGGGTGGGAATGCCTGACTTGCAGGTTGTCGAAGAGGTTGTCCTTGGGGGGGTTTAAAGAAACGGTTCTCGAGATTTTGTGAGATGCTCCTGTGATTCTTCGTACAGAATTCGTCGAGACGGACTGGAGTACGTTTGGGGATCCGAGAGGTGTGAGTCGTGTTTCGAACTGTCAACACGTTGGAGGCAGGAACGGGAAAGACGCACGTGACGCAAGGGGGATCCTCGTCGAAGTGGGGTCGTTGCAGTGCATGCTCTATTGGGAAGCGACGTTCGTTTGGACGTGGATTTGCAACGGGTTTGGGGTCCTGCTGGCTCGGGGATGGCCCTGCTCGGTTCTGAAGTGGCAGAGAACCATCTCTTATGGGCGTTCGTGCTTGCGATGTAGCCTGCCGTAAGCATTAGCTGGGTGCGACTGTAACACAAGGGAAGTTTGAGTCTAATGTCTTCCTCAGCCTAGAACTCTGGCAGCTTCATTCTCGAAGAGCTCATTCGACTGGCCGTCTAAGATGAGACCAGTGGAGTCTGTCGGCGGACGCAGTCCACAATCGGGTGGCTTTGGGATCTCTGCAGTCATCCTCAAGTTTTGGCTGGTTTTGCCGGTGCATCTTGGGATCGCAGACACCAGGACGCTTTGTGCCAGGAGACCAGGGAAATATTTCACTGCGGTAGTTCTTGCACAGAACGGTTATCGTAGGTGATTCATTCCTCGTCTGCAGTGCGTCCGATATCCATGGCCATGAAATAGTGAGGCTGAATAACAAAAACAAATTTATTTTTTCCAAGAACCCTTGGGATTATCACTGGCAAACTGAGATAAAGTACATGCTTTGCCAAGAAAAGCCCCTTTGATTGACAGGAGGAAAAAATCAGCTTCTGCCTAGAAGGGAAAACACTTTTCCCACAGAAAAAAAAGGCAGCAAAAAATTTTTCCCATAGAACTCCTATGCCTCAGCATGCTCTAAGGAGAAAAATTTATCACTCCTATGAAATGTACATCAAATAAAATCACATGAAAAGGGGACACTTCTACATGCACTGGGATGCCAAATTCATGGATGAATCCAGCCGCTTCTCTGCACTCGTATGCCTGCGACTGCGAGAGAATGCAGCGGATTCCCTGGTGGCGGAATGCAGCCGATTCCCCTCTCGCTCGGGAGGGGGAATCCGACCGATTCCCCGACATTGATCAGTGTCTTTCACATCTGACACTCATGAATGAATGAATGGGACATGTGTATGGACATCAAGATCCTATTGGCACAAAGGATCGATGAAAGGGAGGACGATTTTCATCTAAGGATGGGGAAATCATCACTTCCCCGCATCGGAAACCCGCGGGAGCCGGAACTCCCGCCGGATGTAGAAGAGGATGTACGGCCGACACTTGGCCACCGTCGATTCGTCGGATACTCGCACCACGCGGTCGTTGAAGTGATACCAACGACCTACAAGAGGCATAAGATTTTCCCATGTTTCTGAAGAAGTTTAAATTCTCGACTACATAGGAAGAACCCATGGAAGATGGCCAACTTACCTTCGTTCACAGCAAATGCAGTGTAATGTCCCGAACCCGCCCTGGAACACATGATTGAGGAAACATCAACAAACCACAATATGCATGAAAGAGAGCCTACTGCAATTCTGCATTTATTAGATCCAATCACTGCAGCACCCAGGGAAACAAATAACCCTCTGTTTGCCCGTATACAAAACTTTCCCATCTCCTCAGCACAACTTCACAATTGGAGACAACATTGTATGCATGAAAATGAGATCATTAAGCAACTAAATAAAAACTCATGATGCTGAAGTAGTCCACAGATGACTGCAGTCATGTGAACATCAAAAGGTGCATTATACTTCTGCTTCAGGAGGCTGTGAGTTGGTGCAAACTGAGGAGCCACAATCTTTAGGAGTATTGATGACTGATGACAAGGCTCCAGTGCCAAAATTAATGCTTCCATCGATAAAGCACCAAAAGGATGGATGACACGGTTGAAAAAATGCACCAACACCAAAAGTCCTGACAAGGCCTCACCCAGAGCCATGGTGGACGATCACAGCAGCCAAGTCGTAGAGGGTGGAACCCAGGCGGCTGTGGCGGGTGCGGTGCATCCCCGTCTGCACGAAGTCCGACATGTCCAATGCGAACACGGGGAATTGCACGGGTGTGTTTACCTTCAACCGTTGCTGCGTGGCTGCATGCCACCGGAACCGCTTCAGATGGAGACACAACACCTGAAATGGAAGGGGTGAAAGTCTCACTTTGGCTTATCTTGGCAGCCAAGATATGGTAATACACACTAACAAATACTGAAACGCGAAATGGTCTCTGATCGACTCGGCAGTTGGAGCTGAAACCAACAAATCGGCAACTTACATTGGGGAGGCGTCGAATGGAGAACTTCTTGGTGGAGCGCTGGCGGTCCTTGCAAAAGTTGCAATGATATAGTTCACTGTCTTCCAGTTCCTCTACATCAGTGAAGTTCTTCAAACAGTCTGCAGCATGAACACAAAATCAAAATTTTACCTTCCAAGTAGATCATGGAGTGATGATACTGCAAAGATGTACTGTTAGGGTGAAACCATCTAAGTTTAGACAGTGCTTAAGTTCATACACTATAATGTACATTGTTACAAAACGAAGCTTTGGAGAGCTATCCCTCAGAAACAGTTCTTTGCAGCTTGGAAGAGCTCACAAATGATTTGCTTTATAACTATTTTATTGTGTCTGAACTTACATGGTTAAATCCTACCTCCCAGACAAAACCTTTTCCCTTTCCAGCTTTGGCCTCAACAATCACCTCTATATCAATTCCAGTCACAGATTTTTTACCAAATAATGTTGATGAGGATCATCACTGTAAATATCATGCACAGAGCAATCAGATTAAAATTAAATATTATTCCAAACCCATTGGGTTCAAGTACCTCATAAGAGAGTCTGACCAGGCTAGAAATAAAAACCTTCCAGTTTTCATGCCCGTTTTAACTTGTCATATGCGATATGTCATACTTGTCATACCAGAATTCAGACCATGATATACCAGAGGAAAAGAAACAGACCATATAGATTGCAGAGGGGAGGCTGTGGACTGTCGTCTTCTTTGCCTTTGCTGGGCCTAGCCTCGACAAAGCGGTCAGGAATGTCGAGACTCAGGTCCAAGAATGGGTCGTGTTTCTCCGATAGGCTTTTGCACACCAGGCACCTCACCTGTCACATCATCACTGCCACATTCAACACCGCAATTGGGAGAAGAAACGAAGGGAAAAGGCAAAGGGGAAAAAGGAGACTTCGCTCTGGAGGGTCCCGCCAAAGATGATCGTAACGATGGAGGTCTTCGTCTTCCCATGGAGCCCCAGGGTCGTAAAGTTTGGGTCACGGTTGAGAGACGGTGCAGTCTCGGGGAGGAGGAGCAGGAGTTCCTCGTGCAGACGGTCCAACACGTAGCGCAAGAACTCGTGTGCATCCTGCTGCTGGTACCCTCTGCAATCATCATTAAAAAATTAGACACAAATCTAAAGCTTCCAGGAGTTAAGCAACAATGGGGAATAATAAAATGGCATTAATATATTTTCTATACAACATGTGGAAGACTAATGAAAAATATTTTCAGAAAAATTGTCAAAGGATGTTCAGAGCAACAAAAAACAGGAGACAGGAACCTGAAGCGAGGAACGACTCTCCAGATGACAGTGAAGAGGGACTCAGGAGAGATGGCAGACTTCCCACCCTCCTTCAGGGAGATGAGGACCTTGCGCAGCTCCTCGGCCATCAGCCCCACCTCCCCCTTGTCTGGGACTTGGACGGGGCAGGGACTATTGGAGCGGCTGTTCCCTCCCTTCTCCAGTGACGGCAGCTGCTTGAAATATCCGCTGAACTCCTTGATGTTGCTGCAAATTCCCCCATCACAGGTTGAGATGAAGCATATGTTTTACAAACATGAGCACATTTGCTGGCCTCGTTACTCACTAGCCCGAGAGTTGTCTTGCTTCTCATTTGACAGAAGGGATTGTATCTTTTACTACTATGGGAAAAGGGGACAAAGAAAAATTATCAATGCTACGAAACTCTAGATGATTAGAAATGAATACTTTTACCATTTTTAAACCTATGGTGATCAGTGGCTACCAAAACTGAAGGTCATGAGGAGGTTAAGATAATAAAAACTCTAGAGGTTTAAAAGTGAAGTTTTTGGTGAATTTATAACAATACATATCAGTGACTGAATCCTTTTATAGAACACCTTAAGCTTCACTTACACCACCAAATGCAAATTTCCTTGGAAATTCTTTCTGGTCAGTTAGGGGAGAAAAATGTGCTAGGGGGAGAAGCACCAGGCACCCATAAAAAACCAAACCTCACTTAGGAGCTACTAGCACCACTGAAGTAGCTATAATAATCAGGACATGGGTATCAGTGTCTTACTCATCACAGACAGTAGTGAGAGCCAATCAACACACATGCACAGTAGTCATACAGGAGTTATGAATTGCCTTGGATCACTGCTTGGTGATATGAATAACATGACATTCCTCAAATCACTACATTCTGTGATTTTTTAAAATGACTCCATTAATTAGGCACATGTAACTTGAGTAAGCTTAAATGACAAGAGAGCTCATAATAATTAGCCATCACGATCAGACAGAATACTGGATAATACACAGCAACACATCAGATGACACATCACCTTAGGGACTGAAGGACCACATTCATGAAGCAGGTGTTGCCAAGATTCTGGAGACCGACGACCCGCTTGCCCTGCTTGCCGTCTGCCGGCACACGCTCGAACTTGCGCCGCTTCTGGGACGTCCCTTCTTCATGGTTCTCCATCCCCATGGATCGGTTGGGCCTGAGCCAAGCCAGACGAGATACAATGAAATTCCCACAGGGAAGCATGAGAGGTGCAAAAGGCAAGCTCATACCTATGTCGTCGAGCCCTCAGATGGATGCACTTGTCGTTGTCCTCTTCGGGTAAAATCCCCTTGGATTCGTTGTGGCTCTCCTGGTCTGAGTTCTCGTGGCCGTTCAGACGAATGAGGCAGTCTCTCAGCTGTTCGAGGCGGCGACGTCGTGTGTCGTTCATGACAAATTCATCACAAATGTAGCTGTGAAAAAACATTGGGTTGTCAGAATTGATGCTTGATGATAAAAGAAACTCAATCCATACTGCCCAGAATGTCATAACTTCATGTTAATGTGCAACCAATTGTAAGCTACAGTTAAAACAGGTAAGAACTGCAAAGGAGGTTCAGCCTCATGCCAACCCTTCTAGGGCATACATGTTGATATAAATGTCTTAAGCAAGTGGTATGTTAGTTATGACAAAAACCAAAGCCACTTGAAAAAGATTAGTAGTTTACCAGTAAGCAGACATGTTGAGCGGATCAAGGCAAACAGTATGCTCCCGAAACTGCTCCCAGTGAAGCTTCATGTGGCCGTGGACATAGCGACCACATCTCACCACTCCGCAGCGGCCGCACACCCAGGGTCCATCCAATCTCCCACACCCTATCAAGGAACATCAGAGCAAAACCACATTTATCCCATGGCATGAACAAGACAAAACTGTGAGGCTTTGCCATTAATGACCTCACCTTCCTCAGTGCATCTCCAGATAGGGAGGCCTGAGATCTTGTCTACTTCAGGAGGAGTCAACTCTGTGATTTTCACACATTCTTCAACGTGTGGGCATTCCATGACCTAGAGATGGGCCTCCTTTACCTGAGATGCACAGAGCTTGTGTGCCCGGGATTCAAGGTTGCTGTGCTACGAACAAAAGCCTGCAAAGAAAAGAACTTCATCTTTAGTCCTGCAAATTCAGTCCAAAGTCATGAGGCTTAAACTTAACATAAATTCAATTTAAGAATATAAAAATTCATATGATATATCTAACATCGAATTGAACCTAGGCCTAACTAACTTAGAGACTAGAATACTGCATCGGCTACTTGATGCCAAGGTCTGTTCACCCAAGCGAGCACATCCTTCATCCTCAGGCATAGCCGATAAGCTAATCTGCGCCCATACGGCGGCTAACCAGAGTCTTCCAGCGGACGCCGCAAACGAGATCAGCAGGAATCCGACCGTCCGGAGGTCTGAATCACCCCATCCGAAGGACGCATAGGCCTACGTGGAGGACCGTCCCGTTTGCCGTGTTCTCCGTGCCCCCTCCACCGACAAGGGAGATGGGAGGGCACACTCACAGATGATTAGGGAAGGGGTTAATGCACTCTCGCCTTCGTAAGGTGTCTCTGCCCTCGACTTCGTTCTCTCTCCTCTTCGCGCAGATGTCGCTGATAGAGATAAAGGCATGGCTGCCCTCATGCGTACGCTATCTTGATCACGATGCACGCGTCTCCGATCTTTCCTGATTTTATCCTGCTTTACTTGGAGGACCAGAGGCTAGCGATCTAATTGCAATGAATAAGGGAAAATTGGGACTAGGCCGATCCGGTCCTGGGCATGCCGGAGATGGAGCTGATTTTGTTAAGGAAGTGGAGGTCGCAATGCGAAACCTAGAACAGCAGGAACTAAAGGTTTGACCTTTGTTGATTTCAGTCTTGAATAATGTATATGTATTGGACGTAAGATATAGAGTGTGTAGACCCTTGAACTAGCCTAACGTTAATTGCCAGATGGCCAATGCTCCCATTTTGAAATTTACTTACAAAAATGTATTGCTTTCAGGGATTCATAGACGATGCAGCTGCTGATAATTATGCTCAGCTCCTTTGCTGTTACCTGTACACATACGATCTGTAAGTGTTTCTTCATAAAATGCTCATGCCATTCGTATAAAATGTAAGATAGAGTTGAATTTTTTAGGTGCAATGCAAAAATGCTGTGGAAACGAATTCCTCAGAGGTTAAAAGTTGGAGAACTAGCAGCAATATGGAAGTTGGGAACCTTCCTGTGGAAAAAGGATTACATTGGCTTCTATGCTGCAGCAAGGGGAACTGAATGGAGCGATCCAGTTAAAGATATCCTGAAGCGACTGATTGGTGAGTGGGATTGACTGACTTCTGACTAGATTTTAAGAACTGTAAAATGTCTGATACAAATAGTGCTCATTAAAGCTCTAAGACCTCACTTTCTTTCATTCTTGCTAGGTCAGTATGGTATAATGTTTCTTACCAAAGTGGACTGGGATAACATTCCAAAAAAAAAAAATAAAATAACCTTGAAACTTTTAACCCATTCATGCTTGTATTTTTAATGCAAAACACTAAGGTGTTTTTATTTGTTTAATGTTTAAGGTGGTACTCTTTCACATGAGTCACTTGTTCCACGGCTCAGTGGCATAACTGCACTAGAGTGGACTGCATATAACAGAAGTTTTGAGGCATGTTTACCATGGCTGTAAAGTCATCATCACTGCCAAAATCATAGCTGCCCACCACAGCAGACAAAAGGGTTAAAGAGAACATTTCTCTGCCTCACAATGCTTTGTAGCTCCACCTTCAGGTATCTTTTCCTCAATAACCCAGAGAAGTAAAAGCCATATACTTATATTGACTTTATTATAGAATTATCAAACCTCATTGAGACTAAGGAACCAATAGGCCCTCTGACTAAGCAGTAGTCCTACTGTGTGGACAATAGGCTCAGCGTGAGATCATTTCCTTCAAAGGTTTGGTACAAAACCACTGCGTGGATCTGGTGAGGGAGGCCTACTCCTCTGCAGACGTGCAGGATGTCTCGGCTGTGGTCGGCGGCCAGGAGTTCATCCCCAAGGACTGGATCGTCGAGGGGGATCTGGTGTATCCGACCAAACCGACTCCTCCCGAGCAGATACGCATAGCTCCAAGAGGAGATGAACTCGTCACGCTCACTCAGATTGTGTCGTTTCTTGAGAAGTGAGGTGTGGTGATGGCAATGGATGTCAGCATGAATGGTGAATAAATGGTGTTTTTTCCATCTAATGATGCTATTACATTTTTTTAAAATATGCATTCGGTCCTGCATGGCCCTGACATGTAGGATGGCTCAAGGAAAGAAGAAAGCCATAAGCGACTCAAGCTTGTACACCTTTTCTCTGTCAGTGTTTGTAACATGAATGTTATGGTGTAAAAAAAAATTGGATTTGTCATGCTGTACAGGCACAGGGAACATCATGGTTCCCATGGTATTCTATATTGAATGAAAGCATGAATCTAAGAAGCAGCATCTCCTGTGCCCGGCGCCACTTCCACGTCTCCCTGCCGTATGCATCGGCCACCAAGGTGGGATTCACAATCGATACCTCGTAGCAGAGTGAATTTCATTCGGTGAGGCATGACAATGCCTTTTCAGGACTGGGTGGGCCCACGCGACCCCGTGTCCAACATCCGCCCGCTCAAGCTTCCGTCGCACCCCCAGGACTCCAAGAAGGAACTCGAGGACCTCCAGCAGTGGCACCAGGAGTTCTGGACCACACAGAACAAGCTCTACGCCAAAGTGAGTCCGAACCCGAGACTCTGTCGTCTCGTCCGGAAAGCAATTCGTCGCTTTGGTGTTCTCAGGAGAAGGAGGAATGGCTGGCCAGGGGTGGTGACCTCTCAGAGTTTCACAAGAATTTCTTGGACGTTCACCGGAGGACCCACATCGAATACACCAAGGAATGGTACAAGAGGAACACCCGCGGCCTGTGGACGCAGCTCAAGACCGTGCTCTCCCGGATGCTCCGGACCTGACGCGGCGAGAGGGAGCGAGACGGTGCGTGCCGAAGAACAGGGGATATATTCTGAGATAAATGGTAAAAAA